TGTATGAATCATATGGTGAAAAACTGACTTTGAAAAATAAATCTGTTCTTTTTTCTTATAAAAGGCTAAATAAAACAAAAATATTGGTGGTAATTGTTGACTGTGTAACTTTACAAAAGGCACCCCATACATCAAGCTGCAGTTTTTAGTCTCTGTTTGTTTGTTTTTGTTTGTTTTCCTCTGATCCTGCTCTCTGCTCCGAGGAGTCTCTGGCTGTGGACCTGATTTGTGTTTGTGGGTTGTGTTTGCCGTGCGAGTCCTCGCTCTGCTCACTTCCAAAACTGCTGAGTGCAGCACTGTGGCGCTCGCCTAAGGTGGAAACATATGGCGTCTCTGAGTGGAACCAGCAGTAATGTAAAAACCGTCCTGTTCTTCGGCAGCAGCTGAAATACATTGGTTATGGTGTCTGTGTGTGTGCGCGTTTGTGTGAGAGAGCAGAATTATTCTTAAACCATCTTTATGAGGGTTGTGTACTTTTCTTCTGTCTTTTTCTCAGACCTTATGGCCAAAACAAAAGAACAACCCGTGTTTTGAAACCTGACTTGATCCAGGTTAGGGCCCAATCCTGAGCCAGGTTTCGTGTTTGTAGCACCTGGAGAGGGATGTGAATGGAAAACTTTGCTCTGGCAGCTCCTCTGGAAATTGCTGCTAATTTGCTGTGTTTCTGGTACAGTAAAGAAGCACATCTGTGCATCTGATTTACAGCTGTTAACAGATACCAAAAAAGACTGAGCCTGGTTTCTTTTCTGTTTAACAACAAGTTTCTGAGCTGAAAAAAAGCACACCCTGAGACCTGGCGTGTACGGTTCTGCTGCAGTTTTTGTCTTTTATGCCATGTCTCTGTTGTCCCTGCTTATAAAGTGGTAAATTATTCATCATGTGAGAAAGTTTACAGAAAACAGGAAAATGTGAATGTGGATCTTCCTGTATCAATCATTTGTATCACGTTCAGACCTCTAGTAGCAGAAATGCACACACACAGCTGCTTACAGAAAATCTCATCTTCTTCTCCATGAAAGATAATTATTCTAAGGCTCGATAAAGTTAATATCTAGAGGAAATTTGTGTTGGTTTTGCTTCAGCATCTCTCGTTCTCCTCCTCTGAGCAAGTTGTTTCTGCAGAGGCAGGGCCTGAGGGAGGCTACAGAAGCAATGCATCTCTAGGTTTTATATATACTCAACACGCCATAAAGAAAAAAAAACATTAAAATGTCTTTTCTCCTTTACGCAGGGCGTATAAAACCATAGAGGACAATGACCTGAAGTTTCCTCTGATCTACGGCGAGGGGAAGAAGGTAAGAACTGCTTTGCAGCTGCTCGCTGACAGAGTTACAGAGTGTCCAGGCTTAAAACTACTCTAATGATGTAGAATAATTGTTTTTTTAAATTGGCCTATATTCATGTCAAATGTGTACTGCAGTAGATTAATCCATAAACTTTGAGGCACCTGCCAAGCTGGCCTTAAAACTCACTGGTTGCTTGGTCACAAATACTCAGATTTTAGCGAGCCTGCACTCAAAACCTTTTCTATTTTCATGCAATTTTGAGTTGCCAACTTGTAGATTTCATAGACACGTAGAATTTTGTGGGTGTATTTTTACAGGGAGGCGGGTCAATTACGCTGCTGTCAATCATTTTTATTTCAGCTGCGGCATCAGCTGGCTGAGGCTGCCAAATACAAATTGTTCTTGCAAAACTTCTAAAAATAATCAAAAATCTTATAAATATGGTAAAAGTAAGCTATAATAACTATAACTATAAACTACAGGTGCTGGTCATAAAATTAGAATATCATGAAAAAGTAGATTTATTTCAGTAATTCCATTTAAAAAGTGAAACTTGTATATTATATTCATACATTACATACAAACTCATATATTTCAAATGTTTCTTTCGTTTAATTTTGATGATTACAAATGACAACAAATGAAAATCTCAAATTCAGCATATCAGAAAATTAGAATCTTACTGAAGACCAATAAAAACAAAGGATTTATAGAAATGTTGGCCAACTGAAAAGTATGAACATGAAAAGTATGAGCATGTACAGCACTCAGTATTTAGTTGGGGCTCCTTTGGCCTGTATTACTGCAGCAATGCGGCGTGGCATGGAGTCGATCAGTCTGTGGCACTGCTCAGGTGTTATGATAGCCCAGGTTGCTCTAATAGTGGCTTTTAGCTCTTCTGAATTGTTGGGTCTGGTGTATTGCATCTTCTTCTTCACAATACCCCATAGATTTTCTATGGGGTTAAGGTCAGGAGAGTTTGCTGGCCAATTAAGAACAGGGATACCATGGTCCTTCAACCAGGTACTGGTAGCTTTGGCACTGTGTGCAGGTGCCAAGTCCTGTTGGAAAATGAAATCTGCATCTCCAAAAAGTTGGTCAGCAGCAGGAAGCATGAAGTGCTCTAAAACTTCCTGGTATGTGGCTGCGTTGACCCTGGACCTCAGAAAACACAATGGACCAACACCAGCAGATGACATGGCACCCCAAACCATCACTGACTGTGGAAACTTTACACTGGACTTCAAGCAACGTGGATGAAGTGCCTCTCTTCTTTTCCTCCAGACTCTGGGACCTTGATTTCCAAAGGAAATGCAAAATTTACTTTCATCAGAGAACATGACTTTGGACCACTCACCAGCAGTCCAGTCCTGTTTCTCTGTAGCCCAGGCAAGACGCTTCTGACGCTGTCTGTGGTTCAAGAGTGGCTTGACACAAGGAATGCGACAGCAGAAACCCATGTCTTTCATACGTCTGTGTGTGGTGGTTCTTGAAGCACTCACTCCAGCTGCAGTCCACTCTTTGTGAATCTCCCCCACATTTTTGAATGGGTTTTGTTTCACAATCCTCTCCAGGGTGCRGTTATCTCTCTTGCTTGTACATTTTTTTCGACCACATATTTTCCTTCCCTTCGCCTCTCTATTAATGTGCTTGGACACAGAGCTCTGTGAACAGCCAGCCTCTTTAGCGATGACCTTTTGTGTCTTGCCCTCCTTGTGCAAGGTGTCGATGGTCGTCTTTTGGACAACTGTCAAGTCAGCAGTCTTCCCCATGATTGTGTAGCCTATAGAACTAGACTGAAAGACCATTTAAAGGCCTTTGCAGGAGGTTTGAGTTAATTAGCTGATTAGAGTGTGGTACCAGGTACCATCCATTTTGAACCTTTTCACAAGATTCTAATTTTCTGATATGCTGAATTTGAGATTTTCATTTGTTGTCATTTGTAATCATCAAAATTAAACTAAATAAACATTTGAAATATATGAGTTTGTATGTAATGTATGAATATAATATATAAGTTTCACTATTTAAATGGAATTACTGAAATAAATCTACTTTTTCATGATATTCTAATTTTATGACCAGCACCTGTATAGTAAACTTGTGAAAGGAGACTGGGTCATTTTTGTGCATGAAGGAGACAGCGTGGAGACATAGGCAGCTGTCTGGGAAGAACTGCACCACGTCAAGACAGCATTGGTACACATTCTTACACTGACTGTTGGAAACAGTGTGGGTTTCGTTGTGACAAATTTATAAAATGAAACAATAGTACCAGATCTTCCTCTTCCATCATCAACTGAAAAAACATCCAGTCTATCTGCGCTGCTGTCACTGTTTGTACGTGACATGTGCTGCAGAGGGAGGACTTTTACTGGGACTTATCTCCTGCAGTTTCTCTTTGACTATGAATTGTCCATGAAAAAAGACTAGTCTACAACCAATTCAGCAAGACTCGTTGTCTCGTCTTTGTTGACGTAGAACAGGCCCTGTAAAGCCTTATATCTTTAAAGCACCGGCTCTGGTCCCAAAAACACACCATGGCAGCTCCTGTAAACCAGGTCCTGTTGGCTTCAAATGAGAGAAGTGGAGGGACGTTTAGTCTGCAATTATCTACAGCCGATGGTTCAACCCTAAACAGGTGAAGAGAAACAACTTGGATAGAGGTTTTGAGGAAAAAGCTCTTAAAGGGATCCATGATTAGTTGTAACATTAGAATTTACTTGATAAACTTTTATTTTAACTGTAAAATAAAGACTGTAAAAATACTGTAGGCTGTTAAGTTTTGTAAATTTTTAAAAATATTTTTTAACACGGACGGAGCCATTTTATTTCCACACAAAGCATTCTGGGTAAATGATGACGTGGATAGGTCCTAAGTGCGAGGCTGCTAGCGAGCTATATCCACCCTGAAGGTTAATCTTGGACAATATCTGATGATCGACTCTTTTAAATGAAACCAGAGAGCGTTGACGAGGAGAAGGTAGAAATGACTCAGCCTGGAACTGAAAATATGGATGGAGGACAACAGAGCTGCTTCATGGAAGAA